GCCACTACCTACTAGGGTGTAGGTCAACTAATAGCACAAGCTCCTTCTAAAGTGGTCCAACTAGCCTCTGTCCTTCTCTTACCTTCCTTTGTCTCCTTTGACTCTGTTGGGTTTTTTTGTTTGTTTGTTTTTGTTTTGAGTTGGGGTCTCACTCCATTACCCAGCCTGGAGTGCTGTAGCACACACGCACACACCATGGACCTGCTGGGCTCAGGTGAGCCTTCCGCCTCTGCCTTCCAAGCAGAGCTGGAACTACAGGTGCATGCTGCCACATCCAGCTAGTTCTTTTTTTTTTTTTTTTTTGCATTTTTGTAGAGACGCAGTCTTACCAAGTTGCCCGGGCTGGTCTTGAACCCCTAGGTTCAGGCAATCCTCTCGCCCTAGCTCCCCAAAGTGCTAGGATTACAGGCTTGAGCCACCACACCCAGCCATAACTCTATTTCTTTCCAAAGGTTATCGGAATCTCCTTTCGGCTAGAGGGTATCCACCCTGGTTTGCTGATATGGTTTTCTGTTCTTCTGGGTTTGTTGTTTTTTGGGTTTTTTTTTTTTTTGAGTTGGGGATCTATGTCACACAGGCTGGAGAGCGGTGGCATGATTACAGCTCACAGTAGCCTCAACCTCTTAGGCTCAAGCAATCCTTCTACCTCAGTCATCCAAGTAGCTGAAACTACAGGCACATGCCACCACACCTGGTTAATTTTTAAATTTTTTTAGAGAGGAGGTCTCACCCAGACTGGTCTCGAACAGCTGGGCTCAAACAATCCTCCCATCTTGTCCTCCCAAAGTGCTAGGACTACAGGTATGAGCCACTGTGCCCGGCCTGAATTGCTTTTCAAGTGTACATTATTATTTATACTCTATTGTCTTCATAGGAATAAAAAATGTACATTATCAGTCTTCTGAAGTTGGTTTGCTTGTGATTACAAGGCCATCTCCCCTGCATCCACAACAATTCCTAGAGAAGCAGACTGTTAGGGTGAGGCAGGCCACTCCCCAGCCTAGGCTGGTAGAGGACATCCACTTCTTATGCACACAGATCTTCAGTAAATGGCCAAAGTCACTGTTTAAGGTTCCAAATCTGAGCTCCAGCCTTTCTGACCTGGGTCTGATCATGAGGGATCTAGAGCAGTCATGAAGAAGGGGAGCCTGGGTTGTTGTTCTACACCAGAGGTGGCTGAAGAATATGGCAGCCAGATGCAGAGCATGCAACTAAATCCCAGAGTGCAGATAAAAAGCAGGTACAGAGGAATACCAGGGACAACTGAGGAAATCTTAGCTAGGACCACTGCTAGGCCATGTCATGCTTCTGGAAGTGTGGCTGGGTACTGAGTCAGCAAGGAAACTGCCCTTGTTCTGACTTATTTGGGGGTTGAAATACCATGACAGCTATAGCCTGCATTCACACGGTTTGACAAAGGGGAATCATGTTCAAGTAGCGAAAGAGATAGAACAGGTATAGAACAAGATGTTTCAAGTTGGCATATCTAAATGAGGGGAACGAAGATCTGTTGTGTTGCTCTACTCTGACCAGTGAGCTTGAATTTCTTTTTTTTGGGGGGGGGGGGGTTTAAGTCAGAGTCTCATTCTGTTGCCCAGATTTGAGCACAATGGCATGCTCATTGCCACTGCAGCCTTGACCTCCTGAGCTCAGGTGATCCTTCTGCCTCAGCCTTCCACATAGCTGGAACTACAGGTGCACACCACATCCAGCTAATTTTTTTTTAATTGTAGAGATGAGGTCTCGCCAAGTTGTCCAGGCTGGTCGTGAACCCCTGGGCTCAGGCAAGTCTCTTGCCTCTGCCTCCCAAAGTGTTGGGATTACAGGCATGAGCCACTGTGGCTGGCCTCACCTTGAAATTTTTGAGTAGATAAATAAACAAATAAATAAAATATTCTACACAAACACACACACAAGTAGAATCCAAGTGTACCCACTTGGCATTATTTTGAAAACTGAAGGAATACCTGGTGAAATAAAGAAACTTAAAAATGAGTACAAAATGACAAAAATTAAATGACCAAATATTAGGTTGCTGTAGAGTAGTAAGTGGTTTAACAGGAATGTTTTTGGGAGATAGCTCTAGAGGTAACCAGGGAGTGGGGGAGGTCAATACAAAATTCAGGTTTCCCAAGTAAGAGAGAGAATAACAATCACAATCATTATGAATGCTCAGTAGTCACTGTATTAAGATCTTTCTATGCAAGCAGTGTTAGCATTATCCTCATTTTTCATACATAGGGAAACTGAGGCTTAGCGAGTTTAAGTGGTTCATTATCAAGACCAACCAGTTGAGTTGAACCCTGGCAGGCTGATTCCTGAGCTCAATCTCAACGACAAAGAATAATACTACAATGCTGTAAGCACAAGAGTAAAAGCACATAGTCAGAGTGAAGGTCCCAGGAGTCAAGCAAAGAAAGTGAGAGATGACTAAAAATGATAGTATTAATCCCAGTACTTTGGAAGGCTGAGGTGGGAGGACTGCTTAAGGTCAAAAGCTTGAGACCAGCCTGAGCAACACAGCAAGATCCCAACTCTAGAATAAATTTTTAAAAAATCAGCTAGATGTGACAGCTTACACCGGTACTCCCAGCTACTCAGGAGGCTGAGGCAGAGAGAGCACTTGAGACCATGACTGCACCACTGCACTCCAGAGTGCAAAGTGACAGAGCAAGAACCTGCCTCTAAATAAATAAATAAATTTTAAAAGTGGGAATATTGTTAATGATAACAAAATAAAAATAAAGATGGCTTGCCAAGCATGCATGGTGGCTCATGCCTGTAATCCCAACACTTTGGGAGGCCAAAGCAGGAGGATTGCTTGGGTCCAGGAGTTTGAGACCAACCTGGGCAACATAGCAAGATCTCATCTCTATAAAAGAAATTTAAAAATTAGCCGAATGTAGTGATGCACACCTGTAGTCCCAGTTACTCGAGAGGTTGAAGTGGAAGGATTGCCTGAGCCCAGGAGGTCAAGGTTGTGGTGAGCCATGATAGTGCCACTGCACTTCCAACCTGGGTGATAGAGTGAGCTCTAGACTCAAATAAATACATAAAAATAAATAAAAATGGTAGTATATCTGGATGTCAGACAAAGAAGCTGTTGTAGACTACAGTAATTACTTAAAATATAATTACATTAAGGTTAAAGTAATGAACCCCAATAGGAAGAGTAAGGAGACATGGAAAGGACTACTTCAGTTTCACAGGTCTGAGGAGCTAGAAGCTTAAGATAGCTTCAGGTAAACAAGTAAAAATCCCCAGACACTAAAAATAAAATCAGTAAGAGCTGCTTGTGGTGTGCCATGCAGACAAATGATATGGGAGTCATGAAGTTTGAGGTATAGGGATCGTGCCCGGTTTTAGAGCGCTGAAAAGGAACTGGCAACCTCTCACTACTCGTGTATACCTGCACTGGGCTGCAGAGGTATGAAGGCCCATCCGCAAACAAAGAAGGGAAAGCTGTCTCAACTCACATTTTCTTTTACACTCTGACCAAGTCTAGATTCCTTGGAGTGTACCCTGGGTTTCCTGAAGCCCCTTGGAAGGGACTCCCTCATTTCTAGCAAGCCAAGGATGCCGAAGTTCCTCAATAGAGACAGAGCAGAAGTCAAATCACAGGCTCTTATCCTGTCACAAGTGCTGTGGAGCACGCAGCACTCAGTCTCACAGCAGAGTCCAATCACCCCCACAGGTCAGCAGCCCAGAGAAGGACTCAGGCAGGGAACTTAGGACTCAAGCAAGGGCCTCTGCATCTGAAATCTGTCCCTTCTAAAGTCCACATCTTCCAGGAAGGGACCACTGTAACCCCACTCCCAGCAGCCAGCTGTTCCCATAGCCAGCCAACAAGCCTGCACAGCGATGCAGGCAGCAGCATGAAGACCTAAGCCCACTAGGAGAGGGCTTAGGGAGAGAGGCAATGCTACTCCTGTGGGAATCAGGCCAGAGACCAGGCAGGGATGTACACACAGGTACCACTGAAGAGCCATACAAGGTTGACTGGTTGGTAATATTGACTGGGCCAGAGCACCAGCCTATACCAGCCATGGCTCTAGTTGGTCACACAGGTCACAGGTGACACTGACTTGCACAGTTCCAAGTCCTGTACTCATCACCTCTCACCTTTCTCAAACTCTACTCTAGAAGAACTTGCCAGAAGACTCTCAAATCTCCTGATCCTTTTTCTTCAAAATCACATTTATGAGTTTCCCAACTATCAGTTAAGTATTTTCTCTGTACCAAGGACATATTATATTCTTTCTGTCACTTTGGCCTTTCTATGTACATATCAATTTATCTATCCAAGTTTTGTCAGATATAGGTAATCACTTCTATTTTTTTCCCCTTCCCACAGGCCTAATAAAATAAACTTGGACATTTTTATAACTTAAACTTAGCATAAAATATATTTCTGAGCCGGGCTTAGTGGCTCAGCCTGTAATCCCGCACCTTAGGAGGCTGAGGTGAGTGAACTGCCTGAGCCCACGGGTTCAAGACCTGCCTGGGCAACTTGGTGAGACCTCATTTCTACAACAAATCAAAAAATTAGCTGGGTGTGGTAGCGCGTGCCTATAATTCCAGCTACTTGGAAGGCTGAGGCAGAAGGATCACCAGAGGCCAGCAGGTCGAGGCTACGGTGGCCAGGAGCAGCCACTGCACTCCAGTCTGGGTGACAGAGTGAGACTCCAACTCAAAAAATAAAAAATATATATATTTCTGCAAATCGTGGTGAAATAAGCAATCACTGTATATCTAAATAAGCTATTTATCATAAAATCTGAACATAATACAAGGCAAAGACCACTTCTTAACATTAATTTAATCAGATGAAGTGTATAGCTGAGTCAGACATAAAAAGAAATGGCAATGTGTTACATTTGAATCAATCACTAACTTTAGGTAAAGTTGCAAAAATGAAACACAGGAGGCCTATTTAAGGAGGAGGAAGAAAGAAACCTGGAGATGAGAAAGATGGAAAAACAGCCCGAGAAATGCAGTACCTTTCAGTTTGGTATAGCTGTGAAGAAGTGGATCTGCAGAAACCATGCAGGGCCACCAAGGGTAACCTGACACTTTGGACCACACCAAGTCACCGACGTTATATTTCAACAGGTGGTCTTTCTCTCTGCCAGTGTTTGGACAGGACTCTTTCTTAGCTGAAATCTGAAAAAGAACAACAAAAGACAAATACTAACACATCCAATCACTACCCCTACATCCAGCCTCTATCCATAGAACAAGGATTAATCAGGCTGGATGCAGCAAACACATACAGGTCTTCCAAAAGGGAGCATGCTCCCTACTTGCACTTTAGATCAGAGTTCCAACATCACTTTTTTCAAACTATGTCTCTCATCCTCAGCTAGAGGTCAGCATGGTACCTAGCACCCAAGGTCTCCATATAGATCTATTTCCTTGGCCTAGTAGAGGGTTTTTAATGGTGCTTTACTCAGCTGGCCAAAGAGAAATTCGCACAGAACCCCAAATCCACACTGACTCCTCCCACTAGCCACGTGTCTAACCCTCAGTTCTTTGGAGCTCATGCATGACCCAACATGAAAGATTCCAGCGTGAAGAGGACAAGGGCATCATGAGAGCTGGTAACAAAGTCCCAGTTTCACCACTTGAGATCTGAGTCCTCGGGGCTCCCTGAGTCTCAGTTTTCCCATCTCTAGAACATGGGTAGGTTATGAGGCTGTGCATCCCACCAAGGGCAAATTCCTCCCCAAGCTACTTCTGGTTCTGCTCTCCAGTGGGAACAAGCACAGCCAGCACAGCCTCAACCTCCCAAGAATGAATTTCCAACCCTCCTCCTAGGAATATGATATACATAGGCAAATTTTTTAACGCTTTGGGTCTCTGTTTTCCCATCTGTGAACTGAAGACACCTGCACTGTACAATCACCGTGAGCACACTGGCAAGGGCTGGCATGAGACACCACACTACACACTTTCAAAAACTGCCAGCTCTCAGGTTATTGCCCAGCATGCCAGGTTTATATTTACCACCCTCATTCTGCAGATGGAGTCAAAATTCAGCTGATGCTTTATTCAAGTTTCAACAAAACCAAGTGGCAGAGCTAGAAGTAAAAGCCAGGTCTCTGAGGTGGGAGGATCACTTGAGGCTGGGAGTTCAAGACCAGGATGGACAACATAACAAGACCCACCTCTACAAAAAAAAAAAATGTTAAAAGTCAGGTCTCTGACAACTTGCAGAGACCTCTTCCCATGTAAAAGTATGAGATTCAATACAGCCATGGGTGCTTCAAAAAATCATTCTATCAACCCAGAGCACTAAGCTGGTCTTCAAAAAACTTTGCATTTTTTCTTTTAAGTCAGAGTTTCACTCTGTCACCCAGGCTGGAGTGCGGTGGCACACTCACAGTCACGGCAGCCTCTACTTGCTAGGCTCAGGCGATCCTTCCACCTCAGCCTTCCAAGTAACTGGAACTACAGGCATGTGCCACTATGCCCAGCTAATCATTTTTCCTTTTTTTTTCCATAGAGATGAGGTCTCACTATGTTATCCAGTCTGATCTCAAGTAATCATCCTGCTTCTGCTTCTGCCTCCAAAGTGCTGGAATTACAGGAATGAGTCACTGTGCCAGGTCAACTTTGCTATTTTAATGTATGAGCAAGTGCTAAACAGCTCCTAAGCACTCAAAATACAATTTCTAGGCCAAGCTTGCAGTCCTAGGTACTCGGGAGGCTGAGGTGGAAGGATCACTTGAGCCTAGAAGTTTAAGGCTGTAGTGAGCTATGATTGCACCACAGCTCTCCAGCCTGACAGAGACCATGTTGCTAAAAAAAAACCAAAAACAAAAACACATACACACAGAAAAAAAACACAACATTTTTTTAAACCCTCAAAACTCTTCATTATTTTAACTATTTCAAAGAGCTACAACTAAAGACCAGTACCCTCTAGACCACCAGACAGACAGAGGAGGCTGCCACCCCATCCCTATTTCCTTCTGCTAATGCCAAGGTCCCTTGGCTGTTTTATTTGGCTTATACTCATTTAAGTGTTAGAGCCATCCTGAGTGTCATTTTAAGACATGTGACACCAACAACCAGGCAGAATGGAGCAGAAACTATTGGAAACAAAGAACATGAGGGTGTAAGACGCAGATTTCAGATTTCAGGGAAAGAGGCCATCTCATTGAGAAGACAGGTACAGGCCAGGTGTGGTGGTTCACGCCTATAATCCTAGTACTTTGGGAGGCCAAGGTGAAAGGTCTGCCTGAGCCCACAGGTACGAGACCAGCCTGGGCAACTTGGCGAGACCTCATCTCTACAATAAATTAAAAAGTTAGCCGGGTGTGGCGGCACATGTCTGTAGTTCCAGCTGCTTGGAAGGCTAAGGCAGAAGGATCACCTGAGCCTTGAAGGTTGAGGCTGCAGTGGCCGTGAGGGTGCCACTACACTCCAGGCTGGGCAACAGAGTGAGACTCCAACTCAAAAAAAAAAAAAAAGAAGAAGACAGGTGGTACAGGGAAACAGAACTGTGTCAGAAGGACAACAGGAGCACCTGTACACAGCTGTGCTTCCTACTTATCAGATGCTACAGACTTCAGAAATCTCACACTAGAGCCCAGGGTGTCTCATTGACCATATCAGCCCAAAGAGTGCCTTGGAGATGACATCCATAAAAAGAGCACAACGTGAAGTTGTCAAGCAAGAGCTCTGGAATTGTCAGTCTCAGGCTCAGAAACTGGTTTGCCTCTTTTGAGCCATTTTATCCTTGAACACTTGGTAAACCTCTCTAGGTCTCTCTACTGGTTCAACAGGTGGCTGTGAGGGCTACAGAGGCAATGTCCCACTGAGGTCATGCAGTAGATGTCATCAGACCTGTCCCCACCTCCTCTGCCCACCATAGCATATGTACAGGGTCCTCACAGTTTCCATGCTGACTGCTTGTGGTCACGTGACCCCAGAGAGAATTCCTCATGAATACCTTTTTATCTGAAGGACTTGAGATCTTAGACACTAGAGCTGCTTCGACAAGGCCCTGCTCCAGTAAGGAGTCATATTTTATGCTCCTCTTCCTGTTCCTTCTTGCCTTGTTTTCTAGTTTTTGTCCATTTTCTTCCGACTGAGACACATCAGCAGCACTGTCACCACAAATGGAAGATTCAAAAAGAGGTTTCCCATTCATGTATGTTTTGGTGATTTTCAGTTTAATTTCTGGAGAGCCATTTTTGATAGGGGTAGTGTTAGGTGGTGTCCCAATGCCTTTCATCTCTGGGGACTCAAAACGCAGTTTGGCATCATGAGCACCTGGCTCTCCATTAAACACACGGGAAGTAAGATCCTTCAACTTCTCTGCTGGAATGAAGGGAAGTGCATCATGGCCATTAAACTTTTGCATGACCCCCTCCTGGAGACTACTAGAAAGCTGGGCTTTGCTGAGAAACACAGAACATTCGCGATTCACATCGCAGCTTTGAGTCTTTCCGTTCGTACTGCCAAGGACTTCTGGAGCCTGCTTCATCTTTATGCACTTTACAACGCTCTCAACAGAAAGGGGACTTTTCTTGATGCTGAATTTCATCCACCCAGATACTTCTGCTCTTAGAACACTACGATATTAAAAAAAGAAAAAGCAACATATTACATTTCAATCTTAGGATAAGCATGTCAACACTTCTATAGCTCCATGGGGTTTGGTTTGGTTTTTTTTAAGCAATTTATGTTTTATTATTATTATTATATATTTTATAGAAACAGGATCTTGCTCTATCACTCAGGTTGAAGTGCAGTGGCACAATCCTAGCTTACTGCAGCCTCAACCTCCTAAGCTCAAGCGATCTTCCTGCTTCAACCCCACAAGTAGCTAGAACTATAAGGCGTGCTCCACAACGCTCAGCTAATTTTTTCTTATGTTGCCTAGGCTAGTAACAAACTCCTGGCCTCAAGTGATCCTCCCACCTTGGTCTCCCAAAGCAAAAATGTGTTCTGACTGGCGTGAGCCACTGTGTTTGGCCAAGAATCATTTTTAAAAGGAAGAACAATTAGCAGGGCATGTGGCACACGCCTGTAATTTCAACTACTTAGAAGGCTGAGGCAGAAGGACCGCCTGAGCCCGGCAGGTTGAGGCTGCAGTAGCCATGAGCATGCCACTGAGTAAGACTCCAACTCAAAAAATAAATTAATAAAAAATAAAACCAAGCAAAATAAAATAAAGAACACAAAAGTCAGTCAAGAACAACAAATTCTAGTCATGCAACTACCACTGACAATCACTGTGGCCATAGGCATATAACTTAATACATCCAATCATCCCTGAAACGGAAATTACCACCTACCCGCCAGTTCAGCACACACTTGTAAAAACCAGTGTGTGAGGCAGCTAACACAATGCCAGGCCTATGCGAAAGAACAACAAGGAAGAGCATAAGAGTAAAAGAGGCCAGGTGCAGTGGCTCATGCCTATAATCTCAGCACTTTCAGAGGCCAAGGCAGGAGGATTACTTGAGTCCAGGAGTTTGAAACCAGCCTGGGCAACACAGCAAGACCCTGAACTTATTCTATCCCTCACATTACAGCTGACGACTGTAAGGCAGAGACACAGAATATGTCCATGATTACCTGGTCAGCAAAGCTTAAAGCCAGATCTTTTAGACACGGTGGCTCATGACTATAATCCTGGCACTTTGGGAGGCTGAGGCAGGAGGGCTGCTTGAGCCCAGGAGCTTGAGACCAGCCTGAGAAACGTAGTGAGATCTCTACAAAATTTTTTTTAAAAAATTAGCCAAGTGTGGTGGTATGTGCCTGTAGTACCAGCTACTCAGAAGGCTGATACAGACAGATCACCTGAACCCAAGAGGTTAAGGCTATGGTGAACCATGATCATACCACTGCACTCCAGCTTGGGCAATACAGTGAGATCCTGATTCAAAACAAGAAAACATTATCTTCCAACTCCCAGCACAGTATTAGTGCCAGATTGATGGGAAAAAAAAAAAAGCAGCAAAAAGCCAAGAGTAACCAAGTGTGAAAGCATTCTGAGTCAGTTCAGGTTTGTGCTCAATCTCGTATCTTAAAAAAAAACAACAACAGTAGTTTATTAAGAAAACGGAAAAGATCCCAAGTGAGAGGAGGCCCTAAAGAAGGTTGTCCTCCTGGATTAAAAAAAAAAAAAAAATGTGGTGCATATACACAACGGAATACTATGCAGTCATAAAGAAGGACAAACATACAGATTTCGCAGCAACTTGGATGGATTTAGAGTCGATCATACTCACTGATCTATCACAGAAACAAAGAACAGAGTACCATATGCTTTCTCTCATAAGCGGACCTTGGACAATTATTATCATACTATAAGAAAGGGATTGGCAGTAGTGGGAAACTGCCAGGGGCGGGATTGGCAGTTGAGAGAAACTGCTAGGGGAGGGAGGGGCATACCTCATCAACAAGGGTGCCTGCATAACCAACGTTTGTATACCTAACCCTGAACTGTACACCCCACATCTTTATAACAAAAAAAAGAAAAGTAAAAAAAAGAGGGTTGTCCTCAATCTAGTATTCTAATCTGTCTCCCACCCTCCTGGTTCAGACTGCAGTTTGACACTTACAGGGAACACTACAGTAACAGTAAATCTTGTTTATCTATCTCCTGAAGAACAGCTCCTCAAGGGCCACACTGCCAAGTCACAACACATGTCACTGCGCAATGTGTAGAAAGCAGCCAATGTGCTGTGCTGGCCGTGTGAGGCTCAAAGGCGTAAGGGGCAATTTCAGGAAGACCCTTCTGGCTGCAGTAAGCTTCACTGTGAAGCCACAATCCCAATCTAAGGCACCTGGTTAAGGGTCAGAGCCCCCCCAAAGACAACTAGGAATAAGACACAGACAGGCACCAGCTGAGGAGACATCTCCCAAGTGTGCACCATCACAGATCCCATCAAGATTCTTCTGAGAAGGCAGCCGCCAACAGCATCAGACACTGGGGAAACTTGAGAATAAAGACCACAGAGGCTTTTGTTCCCCAGGGACATTTAGTCCTGCCTGGAAACATCACCACTAGGGGGCTTCCCCTGCCATCTACTGGGTGGAGGTCAAGGAAGCTACTGACCAACCTATAAGGCACAGGACAGGACGGCCCTGCAACAAAGAAACACCTGGCCCAAAGTGCCAACAGTGCCAAGGTGAAGAACAACTGAGATGGTGCAGCAGTAGGGAATGCTAGTGTCTTCAGTCTTCTGTCTCCAGAGAAAAGCCAGACGGCTGAGGAAGGGGAAAAGAGCAGAAGTAAAACTACCAGTTTAGCTTCATGTGTACCAGATGACCTTTTAACACCAAAACACATACCAATGTGGTCTGTCTGACTCGTACAACAATTTTTGAAAAGGTGTATCACAGTAGGCTCCTCTTTAAGCTCATATCAGACCAACTGCCCCACAGGTAAAACTATAATCTTGGACAAAATATAAAAAACAACCACCTAAAGGAAGGCACTGAAAAGCAAATAGGCCAGGTGCAGTGGCTCAAGCCTGTAATCCCAGCAGCACTTTGGGAGGCTGAGGAGAGAGGATTGCCTGAGCCCCCCAGTTCAAGACCAGCCTGGGCAACATGGTAAGAACCCGTCTCTACAATAAATTTAAAAATTAGCCAGGCGTGGTAGCATGCACCTGTAGTTCTGGCTACTAGGAAGGCTGAGGCAGAAGGATCATCAGAGCCCAGCAGGTCGATGCTGAAATAGCCATTAGCGTGTCACTGCACTCCAGCCTGGGCAACAGAGTGAGACCCCAACTCAAAAAAAAAAAGAAAACAAAACAAAACCATGGAGAAACAGGTGTAGTGGACACTTGAAAGAAAGGGAAGAGTACTAGGTGGACTTAACTTTTAAATTTGTGCCTGAGCGGACTTTGAAGCAACTGTAACAGCTGTAAAAAGGAGTGTCAGAAGGAGAGCCCCAAACTTCAGGCTGACTCCAAGCTGGTACCGGTGACTAGCATATAAAATACTGAAATGAGATTCTAGCTGCTGGACAAAAACAAAGCAAAAACCACTCTTAAAAGGAATATAAAAAACTCCAGTATCTATAACATGTCATTCATAATATCTAGAATATAATCCAAAAATACTAAGCATATGAAAAGAAACAGGGAAACAACAGAAAGCAACCCCAAGATGACCCAATTACTGAAATTTACCAGACAAGGATTTCAAAGCATTTATTTTAACAATGTTCAAGGACATAAAGAAATATATATATATATATTTTTTTTTTTTTTAGTCAGGGTCTCACTGTCTTCCAGGCTGGAGTATAGTAGCACAATCATAGCTCACCACCAGGACTCAGATGATCTTTCCACCTCAATCTCTGGAATAGCTGAGACTACAGGCATGAGCCACCATACTCGGCTTTTTAAAATTTTTTGTAGAGATGAGGTCTTGCTGTGTTGCCCAGTGTGAGTCTTAAACTCCTGAGCTCAAGCAATCCTCCTGCCTCAGCCTCCCAACCTGCTGGGATTATAGGCATGAGCCACCATGCCCAGCAAGAAAATATACTTCTAATAAAAGAATAAATTAGAGATTGGGCATGGTGGCTCATGCCTATAACCCCAGTACTTTGGGAGGCCAAGGCAGAGGACTGCTTGAGGTCAAGAGTTCAAGACTGTCCTAGGCAACATAGGGACACCTTGTCTCTACAAGATATAAATATTTTAAAATCAGTCAGGCATGGTGGTATGTGCCTGTAGTCCTAGCTACTCAGGAGGCTAAGACGAGAGAATCACTAGACTTCAGGAGTTGAAGCTGTGGTGAGCTGTGATCATGCCACTGCACTCCAGCCTGAGCAACAGAGTAAGACCCTAACTCAAATAAATAAATAAATAAATTGGAATCTGGAACAGAAAAATAGAAACTATAAAAAAGTACCAAATGTAAATTATGTAACTGAGAAATACTGTATCTGAAATTTTAGAAAAGTCAGTAGACAGGCTTAATAGCCTATTAGAAATGACAAAACAATGAAGAAATTTAAAAATAGATCAATATGCCGGGCTCGGTGGCTCAGCCTGTAATCCCGCACCTTTGGGAGGCTGAGGTGAGTGGATTGCCTGAGCCCGCGGGTTCGAGACCCGCCCGGCCAGGCGAGACCTCATCTCTACAATAAATAAATAAATAAATTAGCCGGGCATGGTGCGCCTGTAGTTCCAGCTCCTTGGAAGGCTGAGGCGGAAGGATCGCCGGAGCCCAGCAGGTCGAGGCTGCGGTGGCCGGGAGCAGCCACTGCACTCCAGTCTGGGCGACAGAGTGAAACTCCAACTCAAAAAAAAAAAAAATAGATCAATATAAACAGGCATGGTGGTGCAAGCCTGTAGTTCCAGTTACTCAGCAGGCTAAAGCAGGAGGATTGCATGAGCCCAGAAATCCGAGGCTGCAGTGAGCCAGGACTGCATCATGGCCATGGCACTCCAGCCTGGGTGACAGAGCAAGACTTTGTCTCCTTTAAAAAAAAAAAAGAAAAGAAAAAAAGAGGCCAGTCACGGTGGCTCAAGTCTGTAATCCCAGCACTTTGGAAGGTCAAAGTGAGGGGACTGCCTGAGCCCACAGGTTCAAGAACAGCCTGGGCAACGTGGCGAGACCTCATCTCTCCAAT